AGTGAATGAGAGCATGTCCCATTGCTGCCAATGGTGATTGTCACAATGGCAGGAGTGTGTTGGGATATGACGAAATATGAGTTTTTACGTTCCAAAAGAAACTATTCAAGTACGAGGTTTTCGACACATACGATCGGACTTTGATCGTAATGTCGGAATTCGACGCAAGTCTGCCGGACGCAAGTCTGCCGGACGCAAGTCTGTCGGACAATCTGTATCCACACAAAAAGGGAAAGATCCTATACAAGTGGAATATTGATGTTGTGTACGATGCAGTAGGGAATAATGCAAGATGTCCCAAAGTACTGCATCCAACACAGAATTGTCGTAGAAGTCGAATCGAGTTCTGTAAACAAGGGATTTTCCAAGGGAAAATCGTTGAGCTCACTTTTGTGATTGAATCATCAATTCAAGCCAAACATGAATCAAATAGGAACAATTTCACTTAAAGTATACCTAGACACAGGAGAACTATTGTCGTGAAAATGTTGTACAGTCGATTACGAATTTAGATTGCAGAGAGTTTGTTCTGAGCGCTAAAGACACTCACGATAGAGCACATTTTGCTTTATTCTAAGAGTCCGATTGTGAATCCCTTTGCACCACGGCCTGGACGACAACCGTAAAATGGCAAAATGAAGATGCCTTGTCCGTTCATCATCGATGCAAACATGCAATACCATTGTAGAATCCCAGATGGTGTTTTGTCAGCCAACGCAACGTTTGCACATGCCAGAGTCTTCGAGTCGACTGATCCCATATTGAAGTAAAGGGTGCTGTCTGATAGTACAAGTCCATTGTTGTTGACAAGTTTGTAGAAGTGATTGGTGCCGTTGGGAACTGAAGATGGAAAAGGCGTCGATGCCTCAATTCCAGTCATGTAGCTCTTTTTGGTGTCCTGCTTGTTTTGGAAGCGTCGACGTGCTTCCGGTGTCAATGTGCTGGGGTTGAACGGGAGACTGTTGGTGGACAAGGTTGCCATGGTTGGTGCAGAAGTCGCTGGAGTAGGATTAGCCGCTCCAGAATCTTTCTCCACAAGTCCGAAGTCTTTGAGGCAGCTGGAGGCAGTGGATGGGTGCTTCCATACATTCGTTCCAATGTGGATCGTGGTTTCAATGTGGCCGAGTACCCCGGTGGTGATGATGTCTCTCATGGCTGATGCAGTCGATCTTGTGTTGACACGAACCATTCTGTCGGTCTTCATGTTCTACACAGTGAGAGGTGCAATGGCAACGAGTTGATGGATGGTCTTCACGTCCTTAGTTTCCTGTGCATATGGAGCAATGAGGGTGTCCGTAACAATCTTCTGTAATGTCGGGAGGAGTTCAGAGTCAGGACAAAGTCCCTTTGCTGGATCATCGTCGATGAAAAGAGCTTTTACTGCCTCTCGAGTTCCAGGGTGTTACTAAAACGATTTTTGTAGACTGGTTCAGGCTGATGCTTATCGTTGGCGAAGATGAACTCAATCGCTTCCAAGGGACTGAAGTTTTCGGGCTTGGACATGTTCCAGAACAATCAACAGTTGATGTGCAAATGGGAAGGAAAATGCAAAAGTGAAGTTGACGAATGCAATGCTTGGATTGCACTGGCGAGGAAGTATTGGTGTTGTAGTAGTTTGTTGGCGCAGCAGGTAGACAGTGGCATTACAAAGGGCTTTATAACCTGTTGTACTAGCAGATATGACTAAATTCTAATGCAATGCAAATGTAGATGAATGAGAAATAGTGAGCTAGTTTATCCTATTGTCTGATGTGAAGGATTTCGAGGAAATCGATCGATTGACATGTCAGTCTGTCCATCGTACATATGTCTGGGACAACAATTCCTGCAAAAGGTGCCGAGATGTCGAGTCAGTCATTGGCCTCAATTGAGATCAATGACTGCGCATCTGCAATGAACATGGTATCTGCAATGAACATGGTTCCCGCTCTACACAACGTTACTGATGTCGTATCGATAGTTTACCATGAACCCATATGATTGATTCATTCCTCTCCGTGACAAGTCAGCCTTTGAGTTTATCCGAAAAACTTCGGCCCCATTCCCAATATGGAAACGCGCTACCCTACACTTCGGCACTCTTCCATCCCGCTCTTGAAGCAAATACTGACAGGCCAACTTGAAGAGCAGGTGTTCTGCCGCGCGTTGTGTTTCGTTTGTGCCAAAGTCAGATTGCATTGCCGCTTCCAACTTGGCCAGAAAGGTATCACTTCTGGGGTCGTCTTCGCCGAGTAGTTGGCACATATGCATTAGCTCACAGCCAACTTCATTATCAAACACCTTTGTTGAGCGTGGAGCACTTCGGGGATAAGCTTCAGAGTTTTCGTCAAAAGTATTTTTGATATGCGACTCAACCCACGCCTTAAACTGCGGGATAGGTGACAGAGTAACAAACTCATTGATCGATGGAAAACTACTTTGCAGCGCCCGCATACCCAGTTTTAACAACCCTAATCCCAGTTGCAATCCAATCAAACCTGGTTCGCCGTTTGTGATTGAGTAGAAGGTGGCTACCTTTGGATCGTCTTCTTGCGAACTTGCTGCAGCGTGTTCGAGAGTACACGGAATTTCATCAGTGAGTGCAACATGGCAGAAAACCAAAGGTTTATCCGGAAGCAGAGGGGAAAAAAGAGCGAAAACTCGTTTTCCTTGTCCCAGTCTATCATGCAAATCCTCGGGGTTTTGAATCGGGTGGACAGCCTCTTTTTGCACGATGCTCTCTATCACCGATGGCGCTGAGTTATCATACGATATTCTGCGGATATCTGAACTGAAATAAGTCAAAACGAAAGCTTTCTGTCTGGTAAACCCCTTTGACTTACCCATCATGTTTGGGCAAAACCAATCCCGCAAGCATTGTTTCAAGTCATTGTCCAGTTCCTTCAAATTCACGAATTTGTTCTGACCAATACCCTCTCGTTGGGACGAATTAAAATTTTTGCGAGATTGGAATATGTCTTCTCTCATGGTAACAACGAATTCCATGCCTTTCTGGACATCTTTACTCAATATACAATCGACTAAGATACTGTCTCTGTCAAATTGACTTTTCTTTGATCTTCTTTGCCGCCTTGGCGGCGCTGAGAAGTCGTCTCCGTATGAAACTTGAGAGACCGATACTGAGCTATCATCCCCAAGACTGGAAGAATCTGCAAAGAGTAAAAGTGCTTCATATGTTTCCTTATCTATAGGGTTCCCAGAAGACCGCGGAAGCTCCATGTACTGGTCCCTCAATGCAATTGCTAAATCATGTTTTCTAACTTGATCCTGAAGTGTTGATTTAGACATTTGGTCCAATAGACGGCTCAGCTGAGCAACTATCTTCGCCATTGACGAACTTGCTCTCAGAAATCTCGACATCGAACAATCATGCCCGAGACGTTTTGATGCCCACATGTGCACAGTCCTCAAGAGCCAAATCAAATTTCACAGTATGAGCAATCAGCTTCAGTAATTCCTGCAATCAATTTGATTTCGATACATCGAAATCGAAATGCCTTGCGATATCAGAGGCGCAACATTCGTGAATTGAATCCCCCGTGTCGAGTTGACTCGATGGACTAGAATGAATGGCTATCGCCAACCAATACAGTAGCTTATAATTTTGATTATCTCCCTTGTCAAACCCCTTTATCGCTCTGTTATTGTTCAATAACGGGCACATTAACTCAGTTTATCAGACCCAGCGCTGCTGTACTGCTCGATAGCAACATCAGCTGACCTGCCTGCAATGGCAAATGTCCAAGTCTGTGGGAGACTTTAAAAGACCTGTTGACCGACATGTCAACATCAGGATACCTATTGCTGAATTACACCTTGTTATGATCGATTATCATACAATAGGTGCGCATAGGATACATTTCATTCTATGAAGTGTAAGATCAGACAATATCCAACACTGTAACTAGTCAAACCCCTTTATCGCTCTGTTATCGTTCAATAACGGGCACATTAACTCAGTTTATTAGACCCAGCGCTGCTGTACTGCTTGATAGCAACACCAGCTGACCTGCCTGCAATGGCAAATGTCCAAGTCTGTGGGAGACTTTAAAAGACCTGTTGACCGACATGTCAACATCAGGATACCTATTGCTGAATTACACCTTGTTATGATCGATTATCATACAATAGGTGCGCATAGGATACATTTCATTCTATGAAGTGTAAGATCAGACAATATCCAACCTTGAGGGGACGCTTTCAAAGGTTGGAGGGAGAGCCAAAGCGCCTGGATCCGAAGATCCGGCACTACGCGTCGATACGCAGCTCGTTTGGAGGGAGAAAGATCTGCGATTTATTTATATATATCAGCGATCTCAATTGGCCAAAATACCCACAGGACCGTTTAAATTAAATCCGTTATTATAAACGCCGACTCGCGCGCAAGCCGAATAAACGTTCATATCATTCGCCAAAACCCACACAAAATTCATCTGTGGTGACAGAAAATCCATTTTCAACACGAAACTCAACAACAACAGTTCCAACCCGCATATCCGATTCAACCATGGCCGAACCAGCAATCCTGCGCCAACTCTTTGTCCGAATCGGCCTCACTCAAGCCGTTGCCGACACTATTGTGGACAATCACAATATCAACAGTACCGCAACTCTGACCAAGATCAAGCCTGACACTGTCAGCAAACTTGTCAAGACCCTTTGACACCCATGAGGCGGTGGGAATGGCCACGCAGTCCCGTTCCAAGTGCAGCAAGACATCACTGATGTCGCATGGCTCCTAAAACACCGTGTCCGCACCCCTCGCAATCCAGCTATTCCGACCATTGGCCTCTCTGTCCTAACTGACGAACTTGAGATCTACAGAGATCATGAAGAGCAATGGACCGAACCAAGCTTCCTCGATATCGAAATCACCCGCAACGACTGGAACAAAACGTTCCGTACCATTGAAGAATCCCTTACAAACTTCAAAGGAGTCCACGGTTGCCCTTTGAGCTATACTATTCGTGTCGCAACTGCCATCCCAGCTGATCCAGATCCATCAACCGATTATGCATCAATTGAGGACGAAATTATTGCCCGTGCTCCTATTGTCAACGCCCAAGGAGACTTTGTTGCTACATTCCGCACTGACAATACCACCCTCTGGAAACTTTTGAGTGCGCTATTCAAAGACACTGTTGACTGGACTGACATCAAGCATTGTGCCAGAACAAAGGACGGAAGAACTGCATTTTTTGACCTAAAATCCGCACGGCTTGGGGCCCAATACACCAACAATGTCTCCGCCAAAATTGAGAGACACTGGTTAGCTTTATCCTACGCAGGACCAAAACGCAACTGGAAGTTTGACGATTACGCCCTCAACCACAAGGAATGCTTCCTCCTCCTTGCCGAGCTTGATGACTACCAAGAATGTGACAAGCAAACCAGAGTCCACAAGCTTATTGATCAGATTGTCACTCAAGAACTCGACACAGCTATTGACATGATCATTGCTTCCCCATCGATGGGGACCAGCTTTGACGAATCGGTCGCTCATATCAAAGGGTTCATTGGCAACAGAGAAGATACCCTCGTCCTGGGCAAACAATCATGTGACGGAAGACACATTGCCTCGGTCGACACCAGGCATAGACCCCCCAATGAATGGCATGCAATGCCTAAAGACGAACGGAACACAATCATGGAAGAACGCAAACAAAAGAAGCGCAAACTTGAAAATGGCAACAAGAAAGACAAGACAACTCCCAAGGATTCTGGAGCAGGCAAGAAAACTGACAAGAAAAATGGCCGAACTACTTTCAAAGAATTGAAACGCCGTATTGCCGAGCTTGAATCCAAGGAGTCTGCCCGAACCTAGGATGGCAATGACAACAATGACAGGACTGGAGGCAACGCTCCTGGTAATGCTGCCAACGGAAACCGCACCAACCCTGCACTAAACCGTGGCCAACCAGGTGATAATTGCTGAAGCCAGCCCCGATTGGTCCAGCTTCGCACCATCAGCGCCATCCGGACTATTGCAATTACCCAGACCAGCCCACTTGCGGAAGAGACCACGCTCGAACTGGACTCCCACGCTGATACCACTTGTGTCGGGTCCCAAGCGATGATCGTATTGCGCTCTGGAAAGGTTGTGGATGTCTGTGGCTATGATACTTCCACCACTAGCCGCCAACTTGAGGTTGTCACTGCTGCTATTGCATACGATCGACCAACCACCAGTGAAACCATCATCCTCGTCCTCCATCAAGCCATCCATGTCCCGAATATGGACCACCATCTTTTGAGCACAATGCAATCACGGACAAACGATGTTACCATTAATGACCGCCCAAAATTCCTTACTGC